TGATTTTTCATTTAATTCCAAGATTTTGCAGATGTCAAAGAACCCTGACACTTTAGGTACTAGAGTTCTGTTTATCTCAAAAAGCCTGGAGCCCTGACATACCCAACAGCGAGTCCTCCAGGAAGCCCCTGAGGACGTAGTGCTGCTCCCACAGGACAGAGATGTTTGCAATGACAGGATCTCCAATTCATACATATCTCAAGCCTTTGTCAGGAGGGTTCTTCCAGCATTAATCTTTCACTCTTAATGAGGTCATTAAATCTGAAGGCTTATTCTCTATGTTGATGATAATATGCTTATCTTACAACAAAGCAGGGGTGACTTATTCTTTCAACACAAATTGAGTGCCTTCTGTATGCAGGATACTCTGCTAGGGGCTGGGAATCAAACAGTAAATGAGACAGGTGCGATGTCTGTCCTAAATGATTTCACAGACTAGAAGATGAAGATACCAAGTAATGTGGGGGGTGCAGAGCATGTATGATATGTTATAGCAAAAGTTAGGGGCCTGAATCAGTCTTGGGAGCTCCGAGAATCTTCCCAGAGACATAATATCAAAGCAGTAAAAAGATCTACATATAAACAATGCAACCAACTATCCAAGTGTTACACCAACTAAAACCACCAATAAACTTTGAACAGTGAAAAAAAAATATCAAAGCAAATTGTGAAGGGAGGCATTAACCAGCAAAGGAAGTAAAGGGTATTGAGGGAAGTTAGGTATAAAAGCCAGGTCAAGGAAAAAACATATTGGAAATCTAATGGCAAAGAGACTGGATGCTTTCAAGGTCCTGAAAATCCCAGTGTGGTTAAACCTAAGAATCTAAGATGGGAAGTCACATGAAAGGAGCCCAGGAGAACGTTGAAGGTGATGTGAGAGTGCTCTGCCTTTATCCTATAGAAAGGAGAGTCAGGGAATTCTAAGCTGAGAAGTCACAGAATTCATTCATTCCACCAGCTCTGAGGGCCAGCTACATTTTGGTGACAGGATAGATTTCACCATCTTCCATTCATTCATTGGACAGGTACTATTCAGACCTGCTTCCCAAGCATTCACACTATGCTTGGAATCTCTGATAAACACAACCCTGCTCCTGAGGCAAGAAAATAGGGTGTAGAGACAGGGAATTTAAGGCCAATTTTTGCTGATTTCCTAAAAGAAAAAAAAAAACCAAGGTCTGGAGGCAGGAAACCTAAGGCCAATTAACACCAACTTCCTAAAGCTCAACCTAAAGGAAAACCCCATTTCCTCAGCAGAGTAGCAGAGGATCAAAGTACTCTCCCTGCAGCCCTTCTCCTCCACCTTGGCTCAGATAGAAAGGGAGAGTAGAGTGCCTTGGATTGGCCGCAGGCCAACAGGGACCATGCCTTCATCTGTATAGGGTGCCAATTCACTGCAGCCTTTGATTAGCCACAGGCCAAAACCTTCATCCAGATAATGGGTAGCTGATAAGAACCTCAAATGGGGTACTTAAAGCCCAGAAAACTTGGGGCCCGTGAGCTGCTTGCTGGGGCCCACTCCTACCCTGAGTGCTTTCTGGCTTTCATACATTCCTGTGTTTGCTGCTTCATTTCTGCATTTCATTCCTCTGCTACTTTGTGCATTTTGTTCAAAATGCCAAGGACTTAGACAGCTCGTAGTCAAGACCCCCCACTGGTAGGTAACACTTCTGCCCTTATGAGGCTCCCTGCTGAACAGAGATGTCTTTATCAAAATATTAAGATGACAGATGGGTAGCAATTCTTAAGAACCCAAAATGCAAGCAGTCCTGGCTCAGAACAGCTCCCAGGACTAGGTGGTGGGTTACCACGGAAGAGGTAAAAGGAGAAAAACTCTAATAGGAACTTGGTCTCTGTGAAAGCAGCAGTGGGCTGGAGGGGAAAAAAAAAGGTGCCACAAGGAACACTCACCGGGTGCCCTTCAAGGAAGGGAGAAATAAGGAAAGCAGGAGCAAAACATCAGTGAAGTTTTAAATAAACAGTTGTTTAAAGGCCGGTTCATAGCAGGGCCTCTGCAGCCTTATTACAGCACATTTAGAATTTTTCCAAAACACTCTTATAAGATAATTAACCTAATTTGGCGTGTTGCAAAGTCATTTGAAATCTCCATTTGGTGAATGAAATAATATATTCACCAGCATGTGTATTTTAGTGATAACTCTGTTTATCAAGGGCCAGAGGAACCCAATCTGCAGGCGCGTGCCTCTGCGTGAACCTAGGGGCTGGTAATTATCTCTTGCCAGACTTGCCACCTGTAATAAGTTTGTTTGTGATGTGGCTCGGTTTTTAAAATAATACCAGTTTGTCTCTAGAGACCCCCATCTGAGGATTTACACATAATACGATAAAACTGAAAGGAGGGAAGGATCCCATACTAATCAAAACTGCCGTTAAGGTATACTTAAATCAAATATGGTTTTTAGCTGCTTTAAGTTTTATCTCAAAAAAGCCCATTTAGTCTTTTCGTTGCTATTTCAGATGTTTCAGAACTAATCCCATATTAAGAAACATGCCATTGGGGGCCATCAAGATGCATATATTTTAATTACATGATTCACTTAATTAATTTTGACAGAGGGTTTCACAACATAAATCCCAAGCCAGTCTAGTTTCCCCTAGAAAAACATTGCGCATGTAATCCTTATTCGCAAAACTCTCTGCTGAGGATGCGGTTTTAAAAGCCAGCATTTTAAACTGCTTTGATTATTAATAGCAACATGACAAACAGGCACACTTCTAGGAACATCATGGAGTCCCACTCAATCTGTCCCAATTTATATGAACGTGGTTCAGGACTGCACTACTGTTCATTAGCTTTACTTCTGCTGAGATCTGGAGGTAAACATTTAAGCTAACTATAGAGCTTAAATGTTGGATTAATGAGAAAAGTCATGTATTCCAAAGGAAGTGATAAAGCAAGTCCCAGAAAGAAACTAAGTCAGTTGCCCCGCCGTGTCTCAGACTCTGAGTTGCTCCAGGATGGAGGCCATATGGCTTCATGACTATTCTACTGTCTATGACAGGGCTGGCCTGTCATAGGTCCCCAATAAGCATTGCTATATCTACCTGTTGTTCTTTGTCTCTAGCATGCACCTCAGCCAGGAAATGTTCTTTCATTCCCCATCATTCAATTTCAAGAGGCAGGAAATCCTCATTCATTCTGCCACAATTACTCTAGCTAAACAAACCCACTTGCTCTACAAAAGCATTTTGCATCTTTCAACCAACTGCTCTGGATTTTTACCATGGAGTCTAGTAGATTCCATTACCCTTTCTGCTCACTCAGTCAGATGTTTGGTGACCTCCTACTGTGATACAGCCGAACAGTTCCTGCCCTTCAAAAGCTGACAATTCTGATAGTGTACCAAATCTGGCCCTCTTGCAGGGGGACTAGAAAAGCAATTCCTACGTCTAAGTGTCCTTTTCCATCCCTTGTGCATGTTCTGAATTTCAAATATGCACCGTGGATCTCTTACTCTGCACAAGTAGTGGTATGCCATGAGCTCTGCTATTTGTTTACAAGCCTCACTTGGAGCTGCCTCTACAGACATTCCAACTCTAAGCCTGGACTCCAGTGTTTTCCAAACTCAAGTACGTATATAAATTGCAGGAGGGTCTCAACTGATTTAGTGTGGCTGGGGTGGCAGGGCCTGAGATTCTGCATTTCGAGCAAGTTTGCACGTATTATCAATGTGGCTGGTCTGCAGCCCACACTTGGAAGAGCAAGGGACAGGTTCACACTGAGAGATAAACTTCCCAGTTATTGTGTAAGTAAAGGTAACATTTTGCTTCCTCTTTCTCCCTTGAGGTGATCTTTAATTCTAATTTACAATTTCTCTTTAGTATCAAATTCTGATTTTGTTGGTGTTCCCCAGTACTCATAAAAACCAGCACCACAACCTCAATTAGTTCCACATGGGAACACAGCCATAAAAGTAGACTCACTTCACCCTGGTACCATTTGTCATTTCAATCACTGAAGACACACAAATTAAAAAGGGAGAAAGAGAGAGAGAAACAATAAAGTACCTTATATCCCATGTTCCCCTGTTTATCTGAAGGTGTTGATTACCTGGAGGTAATTTTTTTTCTTGTAAAGTAATTTATTTTAAATAAAAAAAGGTCAGATAGCTATTTCATTTATCACTATTACAAAGGAGTCTAACCCAGTGATGGAGAAAAGGAAGGAGAAATTAATTACAAGTCAGAAGCTGCAATAACACTCTCGGTAATTGTGACAAAAATTTTAAATTAACATTTCTGTCACTGAGAGAAGTTTGATTAATTTTACAATTGGAGATGCTATCACCAGAATATTGGGGGGATCGGAGGACACAGCAGTTTGCAGTTTGCAACACAGATTCGCTTCTTTAAGGCTGAGACTATATCTGCAAGGCACCTTCACACTTTATTAACAGCTCAATCAGTGCCATGCTGGAAATAATTAGCCAAGAAGCCATGGAGTAAATAGATCTTGACTGGCAAACCATGTGAAAAGAAACGCATGGGATTCTTCTCTGTAGCCCTAACAAAGCAGACCTTGTTTTCTGTGTTACAAAGTATCCGGGGAAGACTGCTGTTGCCACTGTGATTTTCTCTTTGGGAAATAAAACAACAGCAAGCAGCAGTTAGACTTTTTCATTCACATTTTATTTAAAGGTGTTATGCTGGGAGGGCTGGGAGGGCTGGGAGGGGACCCAAGGTCTAAACGATAGAAATTAAGATAAAGGAAAGGGTTTATTAATAACGTACTTAAAACTAGCCAAAAATGTTCTTCCCATGACGAATTTATCAATGATCTGTGATGTTTACTGATCTCTAGTGAAAACAACATTTAACACTTAGTTAAGGGCTTATTATGTTCCTGGCACATAAATTCAAGGGGCTTTATTTGCATTAATTGATTCAAGCCTCATAATGACTGTTTACAGTAAATTCTATAATTATCCTCATTCTATGGATACCTTGGTGCTGTGGCACAGGGAGGCTAAGAAGCTTACCTAACATTGTGGATCTAGGAAGTGAGGAAAAGAGCCAGAACGGGCAAGCTGGCTGCAAAACCTGCAGTCTTAATCGGGGAGCACCAAACTACATCCTGTGAGCCAAATGCAGCCCCTCACCTATTTCAGTAAAAAGTTCCACAGAAACAGAGCCATACTCATTTATTTACATATTGTCTATCATTATTCTTCACTACTGACAGCTGGGTAGTTGCAACAGGGAGTATGACTCATAAAGCAAAAACAGTTTATTATTTGCCTTTTACAGAACAAGTTTACCAACCCCTGCTGCTAACCACGATGTCATATTGCTTCTTAGATCATTTCTACATTAACTCACAGCATCCAGGGAAAACCCAACAGTGAAAGACACTTCGGGACGCTGAAAAGTCAAGTGTCAGGGAAAAATGTGAAACTAAAGGGATGGAAAACTTACTTGCAAATCCTATTTGCCAACTTTTTAATTTATTATAGGCCCCCAACAGTGTTACATTAGATTCTAATGTAAAACCTATCTTTCAACTTGTGGAGGAAAGCTGAAAAGAAATATGTTTTCTTTGTACATGACCCCTGTAGTCAAGGAGATGGTGGTTTCTAGCACAGATCACTGGGCCACTCCTCAGGGAAGTGGACCTAGGAGAACAGTATTTCTTTCTCTCTGCTGAGATCAAATGGAACTGCATGGCAAATTATGGTTTGAGATTACTGCTCACATTTATATATTTTGGGTCTTTAGAGAAAGTTTGAGAACACATGGGTATTTTCCAATTCCCACAGGATTAAAAAAAAGAAATACAATCCAACTTAAGAAAGTACAGTTCTCCTGAGTCCGAGCTATTTAACTGTATAGGTTGGGAGACAAACGTGGTAGAATCAGGAAGAGAGAGAAGACTAGAAGTACAGAGAGAATGGAGAGGATTTTTTGAAAAAGGGTAAGAGAAATCATCAACAATTACTCATGTTTCATATTAACATGTATTAACTGGCACTCAATAGAAGCTCCTGGCCTGAAACTTAAGCCTTACATGACATGAGTTAGGGTGGTATGAGGGTGACTCAGCTGGGAACGAAAGCTTAAGCACTCTGGGAACATCTATAATAATCATTCACCTATATAATCGGAGGAGAGAAGTCACACATTGAAAAGCAGAAATAAAAGTAGAAATTAAGAAATAATCTCAAAATCAAAAGAAAAACGCCGAAGGGAATATGAAGTGTTTCATGTTAAAAACTATTTAAAAGTCATAGTAACTAAAATGATTGCATTGACCTGAAAGTAGACAGGCAGAAAAAAAAAATAGAAAATGAATTAAACCTTAAAATATGTACGCACTCAATACAGACAAAAGGGGGCATGTAAATCAGTGAAAGAGATATTTCATAAATGGTCCTTAGGCCCCTCCTGACAAAATGTTAAATATCTACTTCTCTTATATATCAAAGTATGTTTTAGGGGAATTAACATGTTTTTAAAACTTGGATCTTATAAGAACTAAAAGAGTATAGGAGCATATTTACTCACTCTCAGGATGAAGGAATCAAAAAGAAAGACTCTGGAAAAGATCTGAGAAATATTTGTCATCATAAAAATGAAATGAAAACCTCATTGTTAAATACCAAAGTCAGACAAAAAGCCTGTAAACAATTTATTCTATGAGTTTATAAGAAAAGATACTTTAATTACAGTGGACAACACAAAACAGTAATAAATAAAAATAAGGGGAAACACACAAAAATTCAGTGAGTGTAAGAGTAAAACACTTGAAAATCCCAAGCTATTAAAACAATAAAGATTTTTATAACAATTAAAAGACACCCATTTTGACCTAACAAATCACTAAAGATTAGAATCCATCACCCACTCCATCTGCAGTACACAGGGTTTAATACAATGGTCTCCTCAAACAATTGTCAATGATTCAAGCCCATAAAACTTTAAAAGGCCTGATTAACCCAGCAATTCCACTTTGAAAATTTTATCCTGGGGGGGTAGAAAATCACAGATGTGCAAAAAGAATGGAATGAAAGGATAGCTTCTATATAATGGACAAACATTAGAAGGCGGGAAAACCCTCTAAACTTCTAACAATAGGACATGGCTCTATAGACTAAAGGCACATCAATACAATAGAATAATGTGCAGCTCTAAAACTCCTGTTGTAAAGGATTTAAAGGTGGGGGAAATGTTTCAGTTATACCATTGAGTGAAAAGTAATTACAGCACAGTCTGTGCAATAAGATCCCTGATTCAGAAAAAAGAAAAAACATCATATGTAAAATATCTGTTATAGAAAGATGAAAGAAGGAGTAGTGTTTTTATTATTCTTTGTGCTTTCTTGTATTTTCTAAGCTTTTTTTCCAGAGGGTCAGAAATAACTTTGTAATGAGTATTGATAAATGTGTTCAATGTTCACTGTGAAAGAGAATTTGGAAACAAGGCAAAGTTGATCAAACTCTCCCAGGGACTGAGTGGAGGTGTGGCAAGAGGGTTCTGGATGGCTGGACAGAGAATCAACCCAGCATTAACTGACTAGTTATTTGGTCATATGCAAGCCCACTGAGAATTAGAACCACTGTGGGACTTCCCTATAGTACAGTGTTGCCTGGGAACCATCCTTCCTAATTTTCAGCACGTGGCAGAGGCCATGCCAAATGATCTTGGAACCCCTGGTCCACCCGCTCCAGACCCCGGGATCACAGTACTGTAAATGACTCCCTGTGACTAAAAAAAGCAAACTGACATTCCAAGACAGAAAGCATTTCATAGCGAGCATGTACAATGATTTTTCCTTCAGAAACCATCAAAAGTAAAGACTCCATTAGAAGTGCTGTCGCCCAATCTGATTCTCTCTCCCCTTTCTAAAAGCAGCAAGAAATGTTAAAAGGCAATATGATAGAAAGCTTTTAGTTTGAATCCGTATACACGTGTCTCCTCTGATGGGAAGTGAGTTCCACGTTTGAAGGTGTGGGCTTCATGCAGAGAAGAGCTCAACTGATGCTCCCTGACACCACTCCACTTAGTCCAACCGTCTCTTTCTAAGCAGAAAAGGAACAGTGTTCTTCTCCTCCTGGAAGGAGGAGAGAACACCAGCGTGTTACGTAATGAGTAATTTAGGCTTACCTGCAGAATTATGCTAATAGGGCCCATCCCCAAACAGTGCTAGTACCTGGCACAGTGCCTGACATAAACATCGAACAGATATTCCATAAATATGCTTGACATAACAGACAATTCCATGAAATCCACACTTCTTGGAAGACAACTTGGATTGTGCTCTTTCTTAAATTCCCTTTCTATATATCTAACTGGCCAGTAGGGGAGTATCTTGAATTTTACTCATTTTTATCATTCTGAGGTCATTCTATGAGGCTTGGCTTTCTAGACATGAAACACGACTCAGCTACTCATCAACACCAACCTTCAACTTCCAGTGGTACAAGTTCTTTGCTGCGTTCTGCATATTCACAGGAAGGGCATATTGCACTCACCCAGCCCATCCTGCCTAGTTGTACAAATGACAAGATGAACCAGAGAGCAGGGTAAATTAATAGCTGATTTGAGATTAGGTTTCAAGTTTTCCTCCTATCAGGCTAGACTCTGTCAGAGTAACCTTTCATTCAGCCAGTCCTCTAACAGGCAGTGCAGGTGAAGAAGATAAAACTCACACTTGCATGTAAGGAACTATATATTGTGACTTCTTTTCATGTTGAGTTACTTCCCTCCTGTCAGGTCACAGCCATCCATTCCCAATAATCAGTTTAAGTAATTAATGCAAGTCATCTAAATAGGGGAAACAGTAGGGCAGTATGGTGGTTTTGAACTGTGTGGTTGTGAATTAGAGCAAACCAGCTGGTCTATGTTTCCAAAATATACATTTCTGCCCCCTCCGACTCCCACCATCAGCCTCAGTGATTCTGACTCAGTCAGGCTGGGATGTGTTCCATGAATCTGTGCATTTCACTTGCTCCCCAGGTGACTGAGGAAGATGGCTTGAGAAATGTTTTATCTCACTATGAGCTCCAGAGATGCTGGCAGCCTCTTATGTATTTATCCACAACATTTAGCCCAATGCTTATCAAGGAGAAGTTGCTTCATAAATATTCGTTGAATTCATGTTTACTAGGGATGTTCATAGCCCCATAAAAAAACACAAAGACAGTCTACTCATTGGGGAAGGAATTTGGGGTAAATATTTGAAATCAATGTGTTATTGCTTTGCCACCGCAACAAAAAGTTCTGCTTTTTTCATTTGGCTCTCCTGGGATCCTGCCGTCTGTGCTCCCACATGCTGTACCTCAGGAAAAGATAAAAAAGGCAAGGAAACCAAGACTAATCAAGTCCTCAGTTTCCTCAGATCACACATTCCAGATCTGTCTGAATCTATGAGGCATGCCTGCCACACTTGGTCCTGAGAGGGTCATAGCAAGAACAGCAGGCGAAGTAACAGCCACAGCCACGGAGTTCCAGATGGTTTTCGCGCCACCTGCAAGCCACTTGCTTTTGTGTGAGTTACAACTTCGCCGGGTCTCAATTTTCCCATTCGTAAAATGGGGAGCTGATTTCACATTTTCTACTTTGAGGCACTCGTAAGAGAGATGAATCACACAGAGCAGGGTGAATGTGACAACTGTGTGAAAGCACTGTGTGTAAATTTGAAGATTTATATATCTAAGTCATCACTGTGAATACTATTAGTCTGTTAGTATCTTGTTTTCAGATACTCATTTTTTCAGTAATAATTATTTTAGTTTGAAAACTAGACAAGTTTTGACAACATGCATTTGTATGTACCTATCAAAGTGCAGTCAATTTATTGAAATTATTATTGCCCAGCCTCTAAACCCCCAACAGAAAGTAGGGGGAGAAAAAGTAAATATCAGCTCTCCTAACAATTCATTGTCTAAAATTTTCATGAATTAGGGTTAGTTCTCTCTGGAAACTCAGTCTTCTCAATGAACAGCATCTCCTTTTCTTTATATATCTATTATTATCACATAAGCCTGTAAATAGTCTATATATCTTAATTTTTTTAACCTACTTTTGAGATACAGAACCCAAAACACATGATTATCTGTAGGATAATGCAGAGTACATCATCATACCCTCCCTGTTTTATTGTATTTGTATGTCTTTCACCTGCCTTTGATTCCCAACTATTTGAGAAGTATATGAATACATCTTAAAAAATATAACAAATTTTAAACAAAATGAGCTTCATAAAATAAGAAATGCCACATGCCCTGTCTTAGAAACTAGCTATTTCCTTTCTTTCCATTAGTAATTTCACTGGTTCAATTTTCTTCTCCATAGAATACTGGTTTTTGATTTGCCTATTTCTCCCACCTCCCCAGTACCATTTCCCTTTCAAATTAAATTCTCCTTGTGTAGCCAGGCCTTGATCTGGTCAAAGATGGGAAGGGAGTCGCGTTAGTCTGGATCATTGGGAGGAAGCTGGGGCAGACTAGGGAGAGCAATCAGTTCATGCTGAAATCTGACCCCAAGTGAACCAGAGAGGAGAGAAGGTAGGGTGGGTACCTTTGCCAGCAGGCATGGGAAAGTGCCCAAATTCATGGACAGATAAGTATGTTATCTTCCAGGAATGAGCCTGCCTTAGACTTAAAATAACCTAGACTTAGGATAACTGTGACACTCTCAGTTATTTGCAAGGAGTAGTTGGTAGAAGGTGTGGTCTTGGTGCAAACCCATGATGGATTGCAAGTTGCTATGGCTGGGACCCTCAGTCAGTTATGACACTTCCTGTAGAAGGTCTGCAAAGAGCACTCTGATGGCTGCCACTGTCATCTTCCATAAATTCCACATCTGAAGGTCACTTCTCAGGTACCACATTTAATTGTCCCCATGAAGATGGAGAAAGGACAAAAATGGGGAGAGACTATAATGTTTGGAAAGGGCTCAGGGAAATAACAGTGTTCAGGAATTTTTGGAAGTAGACTTTGTGTGCAAACCCGAACCTTTGTGGAATTTTTTAAAAATAGCTTTTACTGTGAAGCCATAAGATACAATTCAATCTCAGGAGCAGCAAGACCTTCC